TCGTACTTTTAAAACTTATCTCTTTAACTAGAGTAGCGCCCGAGAAGTTATCGCAATGTTTACTCTTAGGTATTCACTGATCCATAGCGACTTTCACAATTGTATCAACAAAGTATTCATATGTACTGAACTTATTGCCATGCAATAGCACCGTGCAATCTGCCATAAATAGATAAACAATCACAACGTGATTTACGTGATTTAGTCTACGGTTCAAACCTCCGTTCACGAGAAGAGCAGCAACTGTAAATCCAGTATAAACAAGGAGATTACAAGCTTGAGTGAGAAATTCTCCAATTAGTCTTATTAAATTGAAAAAAAAAAGGTCAAATTACAATAACTTTGGCTTCATATTATTGAATAGGAACATGAATTTGCAGTACATGATGCATAGTGTACAAAATTTGGAGGAGTCTAAGAGAAGCTTTTCTTCTTCTATTAAAGCATAAGAGGCCAAATAAAGCTGGTTCTATGCAAATTGCACCACAAAGGGTGAGCTATGATGGTCCTATCATTCATCCAAATATGGATTCTTCCATTTCTCTTGCTAGACAACAAAGCAAAGAAACATAATAGAGAAAAAGGGGATGGTCCCTCCCCTCCCCCCCCCCCACACACACACACACACACACACACACAAAAAGCCCTAAAAAAAGGAGAATTTATCCTGAATAGCATGAAGAATCATATACCAAAACGCTGAAACTAAGCAAAACACCCTTAAAATGGAGGAAGTCTGTAATACGGGATATGAGAACTTTTCGGCTTGATTAATTCTCGTAGGTAGATGCAAATGGACCCATTCAGCTACATCGAGTAAGGCTCAATCCACCCTTGACCCAAAAAATTAGTAAGGCTCGCTCCATATGGCTATCACAGTTCCCAAGGTTAACAAGACTGGGCGATACCATGATTTGAATACAGGATCTGTTACATCTAGACTGAGTATGCAAACATTTAGCTAATCCCTTGTGAATGTAGATAAAGTATATCATCTAAACACTTATAGGAACACCAAACCCGATACAATAAGCAACAAATAAGAACACCTGGTGGATCAACGATACCTCATAGATACAATGTCGTCATACAATATGAATTTACAAAACAAGAGCATTCGATTGACAAGTGATTACCACGTCAACATAGCATAGCTCCCGCGGTTTAACCTTAAAATAAATCTTCCTTGCTAAAATGGGGGGTTCCTACTTCTCACTCAGGTAGGAATAGGGATGTTTCCATGTCTAAAGCCAGCACCTTCATTTATTACCTTTGCAACTTCATTCTCTGAAAGGAAGTGGTATATGCACGATAGTGATGGCTTTGGACCTTTTTTAAATTTCTTTATGCTGCTTTTTTTTTATTATTATAATTCAATCAAAAGCTCCACAGTTGATTTTCTCCTATGGCTGCATTTCTTCGGTGGAAATAGAGGATGAGATTGCAAAAAAGAGGACAAAGAAGGGGGAGAAAACATAAACGACTATTGTGGTTGCAATCATGATTATAATTGATTGCCCATGTTTATGCAAGCAAAGAAAGCAACAATGAATTGAAGAAGTGGATGCAAGAATGATTGATGATGTTCTAATCATCATTAGGGTAAAGGCCGCATCAACCACATGAGATCCTAGCTCCAATCGATTCACCAAATAGCAAAATACAAAATAAATATATAATATCCCCAAAACAAGTTAAGATTTTTGAACAATGCAGGGTTGTGAGAGATCTTATCCTGGCCATGAGCCTCATACGAGGTAAAATTTTATTCACCATCCGTGCTTTAATGCCGCGAAGGACGGCATTGGGTTTGCCCCGATCAGAGCCGAAAGGGTGGGGTCGAGGGGGTCCGCACGAGGTGGGGGTGATACCGTCGTCCTTGCATCCGATTAACCTCAAATGTTTTTTGGGGATGGACGACGGACCGGTCAAAGTAACTCAAAATTTTAATAGCCCATCATAAAAAAAAAACAAGAAAAAAAGAAAATGATCTGACGACATCCTCTCCATTGATTAAGGAGAGTTTTACAGAGGTGATTGCATCGAGGAGTAACTTTCAATCAGTAACCAAAAGATTAGGGACTTGATTAACGTGCACATCTTCCATGGTAAAGTTTGAAAAGGCCCGCCAATGAAAACAGGTGAAAACAAGAGAGAAAAGCCATAGCAAGAAAAGTGATCTGTCGAAGTTGTTTTCTTGTTTATCGAGGGGCACCCATTAAGAATGATTTCCCCCCGCACACATGATAACACATCATCGCCTTTTTGACCGGCAGATGTGGAAAAAAAGTGCCATGGCCTTTTTTTTTTTAATTTAGAGAAAGAAATGTACTTGAAATGAAAATAAAATATATATATTACCTTGTTATAATTCATGTTGATTAAGTGTATTTGCACAATGATCACGTGAATCCCGCGTTAATGATTTAGATGGATTCGATTTATGTTATTTATAAATCAAGTGAGCTTGGGCCTCGCTAGATTCAAAGAGCTGGGTGAGACTGAGGTGATTGTGGCCGGTCGCCGGTTGTCGGCCGCCGTCGTGGCTGGCGATCGACCGAAGAAGAAGCAAAAAAAAAAAAAAAAAAAAGGAAAAAGAAAGAAAAAGAAAAAGAATAAAAAATTTGTTTATTTGAAAGAAAATGAGATGAAAGAATATATCTAAAAAGTGGAAAATCTTTTTCTCACTTTTGAATGCGTTATTTTCATTGGTGGAAAATATTTTTTATAATTAATTTATTTTTCGTGAAACGAACTTCGAAAAATTTAAACAATATTTTTTTAAAAAAAATTATTTTTCGTGAAATGAACGAATCTAAACATAGCAGAAAAAGATTAATAATCGACGTAGGATTTAGGAAGTGAAGGACAATTATCAATCGTGATGATTTTGACCGGAAGCTGTGGAAATAAGTGCCATGGCCTTTTATAACGGACTCCCCAAGATAACGTTAGAAATTCTTAAAAGAGTACACTTTAGTTTTAGACCACTGAGTGTGGTAGGTCGATGGTGGAACTCGATTAATCCCACGCAAATACGCAAATTGCCACCATCCTTGGATCGAATAAGACTCTACCGATACAATAATGAGCGTGGCTCTAAAGTTACTTTGAGCGGGCGACGTCATTTGAATACCAAATTCTACTCATTCGAGTTAATGTTAGGATTATGTGTACAAACATAATGTAATAGAGAGTAAAAACGATAAAAAGAAATTGAAACACGAGGTTGCATAGATCCACCCAAAAACCGGTCCCAACAAGCTTCACGCAAATGGAGGTGACCCAGATTGATAAAGAGAGGCGATGACTGGCCGGAGGCGTGGCCATGAGTTAATGGAAGTTGAGAGTCTAGGCCGTGAGTCGATAAGCGTTGAGCTTGAGAGTTGAGACCATGAGTGAGAGATATAGAGACAACTCAAACGAGGTGAAAGTGAAACGAGAAAAGCATTCAGTTGAAGGGCGTGGAGCTTAAGATTGGGGATTTGAAGGTTTTTATTTTTCTTAAAATTTTTTCTTTTTTTTTTGTGAGAAAATTTTCTCAAAAAATTGTATATATATTACCGGTCTAGTCCGGTCCGGGTGGGCGGGGTAGGCGGTTCCATGCCTAGCATCAGGAACCGGACTAGTACTCATCAATTGTAGTAAATTGGAATCGAGAGCTGCCCGGTTCTGAGTGGTTCCTAATTCCTTTGAACACCCCTAATTACAATTATCAATTACAAGATTATATATAGGCAGCAGTTATTAACGAGCTCAAGCCTAAATAACTAATAAAATACTGGCTCAAATTATAAAAGTCATATCGTGACTAGGGGCACTGTCCTCTACCACCCCCAACTGTCAAATGTATCTACTGCTCGGTGGGTAATTTCGTGAGTATTACCCGGGCACTCGTCAGGCACACTTTATAAGAAGAAATGTTCCAATTTCCAAAAGAAAAAGAAACGTCGATTACACGTAACACGAGACAAGCCGCGCGCGTCGAAAGCTCTTGATCTGATTATGCATGACAACGGGACGAGACGGTTTCCTAGCTCAAAACATTTTCCTTAACGAGCACGAACTAAAGATTGCCCCCCTCTTTTGTATGGATACAATCATATACCATCCGCACTCCTCCCTCATTCATTCCTTAGTCATGGTGTTGGCCTCTCTCTCTCTCTGTCTAGCCTGTGAAACCGAGACAGATGGCCAAGTTGAGAGAGAGAGAGAGAGTTCAGACAAGAGAAGACGGACAGACAAAAAAAGAAAGAAGAAGAAGAAGAGAGAGATAAAAATATCAAGAAAAAAGAAAAAAGAAATAAGAAATGACAAAAAGGACCGAAAGAAGCAGAGTGAAATCCAGTGAACTACCAACTCCCAGTTTCCGACTTCTTCACACCAACGCCAACCGATAGGGAAAGCGCAAAATCAAGCCCCACCCGAAAAAAAAGGAAAATTCTTTTTCCCTTTATGTTTTTTCACCACTACTATTAAAATAATATTTTTTTTATCTTGATCCGATCGACACGCCCCCCCCCCCCCCTTTCCTTTTCCTCTTGTTTCTTCTTTTTTTATTATTTTTATATTACTATTAATATTAATATTATTATTAATATTACTATTACTATTACTATTTATTTTGGGTTTTCGTTTCTTGCAGCGAGCAGTTTCCCACCCAACAACGCCTTTCCTCTTCTTTTCTCCTCCTTCTGCAGCATCCCCCCACCATTATTGCCACCCGCCCCCATTTTCAATCCCTTTAATTGAATGAACGCTGCGTTGCTGCACGCTGGAAGCGCCAGATTTTTCAAATCCACCACAGCCCTCGAGAAGGGAGGGAAGGAGGGCAAAAGAACTCTCGAACCTCGTCCTGTTCATACGGAGTGGCAGCTGCTGAGTGAGAGAGAGAGAGTGTGTGTGTGTGTGTATATGACTATATGAGAGCAGAAGATGGGAGTGATGGTGGGTCGTCAAGATAGCTAAAAGCGCACGCACAATGCTCTGATGGGTCATCCCCAGTTCCTCTCTTCTTCTCTTTCTCCTGCTGCTGCTGTCGCACCCTCACCGTCCCTCCATTGGCCTCTGTGAGCAAGCGAGCTGGAGGGAGAAAGAGAGTGAATTTGAGTAGTTGTAGCTGAGGGTAGTAGCTGGGTAGTGTGGGTGGTGGTGGTGGTGCTGCTGCTGCTCCTGGTTGTGGTTTGTGGTTGGTGTCTTGTGATTTTTGATGGGTTGCGCGGCGTCCAAGATCGACAACGAGGACGTGGTGCGGCGCTGCAAGGAGCGCCGACGCCTCATGAAGGCGGCCGTCTACGCCCGCCACCACCTCGCCGGCGCCCACGCCGACTACTGCCGCTCCCTCCGCCTCACCGGCTCCGCCCTCTCCGCCTTCGCCGACAACGAGCCCCTCTCCGTCTCCGACCAGACCCCCGCCGTCTTCGTCCTCCCCCGCCGCCAACGCTCCCCCTACTCCTCCTCGGCGGCGGCGGCGGCGGCGGCGGCGTCGTCGTCCCAGCCCTCGTTCCGCCGCGCCCCGTCCGCCGTCCCCGAGGCGGCGGTGCCCGAGGCGCGGCCCCCCGCAACGCCGCCGCCGCCTCCTGCTGCTCCGCCGCTGTCCCCGTCCATCGCCAGCTCCAAGCTCCCTCACATCCTCTCCGCCTCCGATCGGAATCCTCCTCCCCCGCCGCGCGTCGGCGGCTCGCACCACAACCCCCACCGGCGGCGCAACAGCAAGCCCATGAAGCTCCCTCACATCCTCTCCGAGTCGAGCCCCAATTCCTCCCCGCGAAGCCTCAGGTCCGACTTCGCCCCCGGCTTTTATCCGACCGCCTATCCCGACTCCACCTACACGAGCACGCCGTCGCAGGCCTCCTCCGTCTGGAACTGGGAGAATTTCTACCCTCCTTCGCCTCCCGACTCCGAGTTCTTCGATCAGCGCGCCCGGACCAATAATCAGCGGCAACCGCAGCCCGAGAACGACGAAGAAGGGGACGGAGACGCGTCGGCCTCGGAGTACGATTTCTTCCGCCGCGACGCCCCGGGCAAAGTCCGGGACGGCGAGGCGGGGGCTAAACCCTACGATTTCAAGAGAGCCGCGGCCAGCATTGACGGCGGCGGCGGCGAGACCGAAAGGGAGGAGGTGCAGTGCAGCGACTGGGGCGACCACTACAGCACCACGAGCTCGTCCGAAGATGTGGAGGAAGGCGACGACGACGACCACCACGACGGAGCGTCCAGATCCGAGATCGGGGGGACGCGGTCGAACTTCGGAGGATCGGCGCGGAGCGGCGTGGTCGGCGCGGAACCCATGAAGCCTCCGCAGCCCGAGGTGAGCTTCGGCAAGTCCGACGATAAGTCCGAAGATATGAGCTACGGGGAGCACGAGATGGTGGAGGAGGAGAACAGGATGGTGGTGAGGCACAAGGATTTGAAGGAGATCGTGGATGCCATCAAGGCGAATTTCGATATGGCGGCTTCCGCCGGCGAGCCGGTGTCGGTGATGCTCGAAATCGGGCGTGCCCAGCTCGATAGCAGCTTCAAGCAGCTCAAAAGTGAGCTTCTTTTTTCTTTCCTTTTTCAGTCTCGAAGAAATTCAAGTTGTTCTGTTTGGATCAGATTAAAAATCGGAACTTGGTTTAGTTGGTGTTCTTGAATTGATTAGATTAGATTCCAGATTTATGTGATTACACTGGGTCTTGACTTTTGCCTTGAACTTTCTTCTAGGATCTGGGTCGATTTGACCATGTTTTGATTGTGAACGATTGAGATTTTATCCCTTCTCTTGTTGTTGTTGGTTGCAGAGACCGTGTATCACTCGACGAGCGTGTTGAGCACGTTGAGCTCGAGCTGGACGTCGAAACCGCCGTTGGCAGTGAGGTACCGGCTCGACGCCGGCGCGCTCACTGAATCGGGCGGTTCGAAGAGCCTCTGCTCCACCCTGGACCGGCTCTTGGCTTGGGAGAAGAAGCTGTATGAGGAAGTGAAGGTGCCCTCTAGCTCTCTTGTTTCTCTCTCTCTCTCTCTTTGCTTTGTAAATCTGTTAGCTGTTTAATTCTTAATCGAGTAATGCTAGGCATGCCACACTTGGTTTGATGTGATGTTACCGATGGGTATTGGAGTAAAGTGGAATACAACCAACTTCAATAAGAGACTGACACTTTTGCTTAAAGCCTAGATTTACCGTCTCTCCTGGCATACTTAGTGGTACTCTAATTGTATGTCCTATAAATTGTATGTCCTTTAAAAGATCTGCAGAGGAAAAGGGTGGTCCAGAATGACTCGGATTCCCACCAATGCCAATTGCGTTGGTCCACAGCAGTAGTTTGGAATTGTCCCAAGTACCCTTCTCGCTTTGTTGCTATTCTCTTGTGCATTCTCTGAGAGTTGGTCTTTCTCGAAAAAGTGGAGGGTGAAAGCTTTGGCTTTCTAGTGCATTGGGAGCTTTGCTTTTTCACAAATCTTTTGTGGTTCCATTAACATGACCGAAATGCCCTGGGGCCTTTTGGCCAACTCTGCTGGGATGAATGACCACCTTTGGTTGGCACTTGCTACTGTGGGATAGGGACAAGAATATGCTTGTGGATGGGCCTGCCTGATCTTATCACACTGGGTTCCTTTGTTGTTGAAGGCACTCCTTGTTTCTTTTTCCTCCTCTGCATCTAAATCCTTTTGACATTGTGGAGTTAGAATCCTTCGGATAGAATGTATATGATGTTTAATGGCATTTAATTCTTGGCAATGGAGATGTAGTTTGGCATGCATATCATGAGTATAGTGGAGATAAGCATGTTTTGCTGGATGCAGCGGACATCTGAAGAGTGGTATTGTTGGAAATGAGAAAATCGAGGAAAAGTTGGTGTGGTACCAATTGTTAATAAGATGGAAAAAACATGTCGGATGTGCTTTCGAGTCTGGACATGTGAAGCGATGGTCTTTGGACACTTAGGTGAGAAAATGTGATCTCATAATGAAGATGCATGTTGAAAGAAGTGGGGGAAATTCTGAAAAGGCGTGGGTAAGACACTATTGTGAAGGATTTGAGTTTTTGGATTTTACTAAAATTTTGATAGGTTACCCAAGTGCAGTAGTGTAAAGTCTGTACGATGATCTGCATAGTTGACCCCACGTAGGAAAATCAAATTTGGTTGTCTCTGTTTCCTTTGTTGTATATAATGCTTTGTTCCCGAATTTACCACAGATTTTCGTTGTTTCAACTGACAAGTGATTCATAAGGTGTTTAATGTTTTGTTTGTATCCATTTGCACTTGGTTTTCTATTTAATAGAATAAGGTACTGCCTCATTCAGAATTCCAAGGAATGTAACTACCTCGTTTCCTTTATTTTACCCATCAAATAACCAAGAACTAAAACAGAAAAGAAGAAAAAGATTTGCAAAACTGTGCACCCTGTCCCGCAGTAATTAACTATGCCCTACAATATTATATTTGTTGAAATTCATTATATCTGTGCTGTCAACTGTATTAATGACTTCATTTAGATTGTGAAAACACTGTTTTTTCCTCTGCTAAGTTAGAAGAGATAGTGCACCATTAGGTTGCATTTGAAAGTCAGGTAAGAGCTTAGACTAGTACAGAGATTTGATCTTTTGTGTCTATGCCTTCTCCTTTTATGTTTGGATGGATTTCCTCTTTCACATGTTTTTTATGCTACGTGGAAATTTAATTGCTCGTTAAACACCTGTTTATTGAAATAGGCTAGAGAAGGTGTGAAGATAGAGCATGAAAAGAAGTTGTCAGCACTTCAGAGCCAGGAATGCAAGGGAGAAGATGAAACCAAGTTAGACAAGACTAAGGCCTCGATAACGAAGTTGCATTCACTAATAGTTGTTACGTCGCAGGCTGTCTCTACGACCTCAACTGCAATTATTGACCTTAGAGACAGTAAACTTGTCCCCCAGCTTGTTGAACTCTGTCATGGGTGAGTTGTTTACTCTTTTATTAACAGAGGAGGTGTAAATACTCATTTTATTGACTTTTTGACTGTGGTTGGTCATGCATTTTCATATTTAACCAATGACTGAATGCTTAAAGTGCTGGAGTTTACCAGGCTTTGGAGAAGTTCCTAGTTGCACTGCAACGTCATTATACTGTTGAATATTATAAACGGGTTTAGTAAATCGTCGACTTAAAATTAATAGCTGAAATCAACTTTAGGCAAATGTCTTGTTGACTTCGAAGATGAATAGATTGTGCTCTTCTCACTGCATTTTTTCCCGTAAGATGCGTCAAATAATGTGGGGAAAGCATTATGGTAAATTATGTAGATCTGCACAGACAGACTGGACTGACTGTTTACTCGTTGGAGTCATTTTGCATGTGCTAGAGTTGATCATCAGCATACCGACTTGGTAGGTGGGCTCATTATGAGTGTCTGCTTTCCTTTGCCACTTGCTGAGACCATGTGGGTCTCACTCTGCAGTACAGTTCAATCAGTAGCAGACCTTAAATTCACAAAATGGCCCCGATTCTGCATCGAAAGGATAGTCTTATTTTCTTTGCCGTCACCGGCATTTAACTTTTTTGTGACACAGGCATTTCTTCTGGTAGTTTGGCACAAAAGACATGGATTGTACATGACCCACAAACATGTGTTTACAGAGTGAAGCACTTATATATTTGGACATAGTAAACACAATTTTCTGATCCAGTATATATATAGTCAAGAGTCTCAAGATTGAAATGTGCTCCATCATGGCAAACAGAACGACACATGCCGTTGTGGATGAAGTTGAGTCTTTGACTGGTAGAAACTAATACTGCTAGGTCTACTGAGACTAATCTACGAAGTTGGTATATTGAGAGATGTGATAGACTCTAATTGGATGTTGAATCTAGTCCGCTTGTTTTAATGCCTACTGGCAGTCTGCCACATTGCTTAATATACCAATTCTGCAAAGCATTGTTAATATGCCTAGCATTACTCATAGAAAATTGACTGAGTATGATTAAGAAATGGCTGCTCTGGGAATCTTACTGCTTATAAACTGCTTGGAAAATGGGTTCTCCTAGTCATATTGACCATGGAGTTTTCTTCCCTTGGAGTGTGTCCTTGACTAGTTAAGGTGGTTGTTGGTTCATTCCTTGCCTCAGTGAGTTTGTTTGGAATGGTAGTTTGGAGCAACCCAACCACCTTTTGTTTTTTCCATTCTAATGTTGAAAGGTTGTGCTTGATTGCCCGCTTGGCAAGTGTGTTTTCTGGTTCCTTTTACAAATAAAAAAATTGGAAGCTTTCAGCCAACTAACTCCTGCTGGAAATTTCTGTGAGCACGTCATTTGTGTGACAAGTTTAACTTATACGAAAGAGGATCTGGACAATCGAAAAAGTGCCTGCTGAATAGTGCTAAGTCCTCTATGGAAAGAGAAATAATAGGCAAGACTGAAATCACATCATGAAGTGCTGACTGATTTGAGCATATCAAATGTCTCTTGTTATCTTCTGGAGTACCCTTTGCATATCTGGATAGTATTTCATGCTGGTTAAATTGGTTGCAGAAAGGAGGGTGTACAGTGCAAAACGTGAAATGCTAGTTGTCATTTCAAATGTGGAAAGCTGTTTTGTAAACCTGACATGCGCCATGTAATTGACATACTGGAGCTTACATATTTTCAACTGATAGGTTGTTATGTGACCCTGTTCTCATCTGTAAAATTATGCTGTAGTCTTTCGAACTATATATCTGGAACTTTAGATTTATTGACCTGACAGAAAAGGTCTCTTTCTGGAGACTATATGCTTAATATCAGAAACTTGTCCATTGCGCTCATTGCAGGTTCATGTACATGTGGAAGTCAATGAATGAATATCATGAGATTCAGAACAACATTGTGCAGCAAGTCCGGGGCCTTGTGAACCGAGCAAACAAGGGTGAATCTACTTCTGAATTGCATCGGCAGGCGACTCGTGACCTCGAATCAGCTGTTTCTTCATGGCATTCCAGTTTCTGCCACTTAATTAAGTTCCAACGTGATTTCATCCATGCCCTCCACGGCTGGTTCAAACTGACTCTCCTTCCTGTTGACAATGATAACAATGGGACCCGGGAACACTCTGATGTCTATGCCTTCTGCGATGAGTGGAAGCATGCACTAGATCGTGTCCCAGACACTGTTGCTTCTGAAGCTATCAAGAGCTTCATTAACGTTGTTCATGTAATATTTGTAAAACAAAGTGAAGAAATGAAGGTGAAAAAGAGGACGGAGTCTGCATCGAGAGATCTTGAGAGAAAGGCTTCATCTCTTCGGAGCATAGAGAAGAAATACTACCATTCGTACTCTATGGTTGGTATAGGGCTTCCCGATCCCGGGCCCGACAATGGCCAGGTACTGGATGCTCGGGACCCACTGGCCGAGAAGAAAGTTGAACTTGCAACCTGCCAAAGGAGGGTAGAAGATGAAATGCTGAGACATTCCAAGGCAGTGGAAGTGACGAGGGCAATGACCTTGAACAATCTTCAAACGGGTTTGCCAGGAGTTTTCCAGGCATTGACTAGTTTTTCATCCTTGTTCTCGGAGGCGCTTGACGCGGTATGTACTAGTTCTTATGCCATCAGTTAGACGTATGTATACACATTCTTTCGGTCCGGTATTTTTCTTAAAGTGGGAAGGATGAGAGCTGGGTAATTTTGGCGGTGGGCTCTCGCTATTTATATAGAGTTGTATTTACTTATTTGGAGGGAACTCGTTTATTTGTAAATATTGAATTTTGCGATGGCGTCCTTATTTTTTGGATGGGTGGTGGACTGCTGGGGCATGTCCCTGTACAGGAAGTTGCTTGGTCTGTTATTGTCCTGGAGTTTTGCAATGGATAAAAGAAGCATAATGCTTTCTCTCCCTTGTTCTCTTGTAATGTTGTTTCTAGTTCTACAGGCACATAAAGTCTCTACTGGAACATCAAAACTAGGAATATTTGAAGTTTCGTCATTGTCTTGTTTGAATTTTCCTTGAATTTTGCAAGGACACTCTACTGAAATGGCTTGCGAGCACCTTTGCTTGACACAGACTGGATTGTTTGAATTCAATGAGAATCTTTAAGAACGACTCTCGTATTGGTGAGAGTCGGGTGATCATGAACGTGGTTAATTGTCGCCACTACAGTTGAATGAAGGAGACGAAACTCTCTGTCGGCTTGAAATGTCATAGGTATGATATGAATGCCAAACTAATCGCCCAAGTTAGTGATGTGTGATTGACGTTTAATGGATATGGCGATTTCGATAATGTATGTTTTAGGTGTATGCACATGGAATCCGTTAAAATGTGTCTCGAATTTGAGCCCGAAGTGAAAATCTAAATATTTCGAACTGGATATTTTGCGGACGTCCGAAATCGAGCAAAGCAAATCGCGTGATTTCCCTCTACAAATTGGAGTCCAACGTGATGATGGACTTTGACCGTGAAAGAATACTTAAAAACGAAATTGTGGATTTGTTGTTTGGCTCAGAGAAAAGAAAAGAAGTAAATTCTGTCTTGAAACCAAGGATAGATATTATCCTTTGGAGTCGGCCGTGGAGAATAGAAAATTAAAGGAAAGTCAAATCTTGGATAATGGTTGACCTTATCTTGCATGGACTTCCTTTTACGTGTTGAATTAGGCCACTGATCGTTTCTTGGGCAAATATATAATTTTCTGTCGTGGGCTCCTTGGTTAGCAGTTGTTGATGTGAGCAGACTTGAAGCACCGTTTTCTCTCCGTGGATGCCGAATTTCCGAGTGACATCCATAGGTGCTAGGTGCTTGATGTTGGGTTCGTGGTTTTGTTCGTGGAATTACATCAAGAGTTCAAGTGTTCGTAGCGATTTGTGTATAATTCCTTCGCGAGATTGAGAAATTATTTCGTGAGGAATTGTGGAGCTAAACACTGCGTGAGCTATTGGGTGTAATTGAGACTTGGGAAACACTTAGAGTGTTTGAGTGACTCGAGTGTGGTTGTAATCTCCGTTGTATCGCTTGATCTATAATGGAATTCCGTGCTGTTCTCTCCGTGGACGTAGATCACTATGACCGAATCACGTAAATTTGATGTCCAATTTATTTTCTTATTCTGTTAAATTTATCGTTCGATCGCTTGACTTCCGCAACAGAATCCCCTACGAAAACTTGATTTGCATGATTGATGATGAATCCAAGATGGGTAATCTATGGTCCATGCCTGCTCTTTGTGTGCAAGGAGTCCAAAGAGGATGGACAGTAATCAAATTCATCCTCTTTACAATTGATTTTTCAGTGATGTATGCCCCCAAAAAATGCATACGATTCAGTAATTAGACTATCCAGTAAATTTATTTGACACTACAAAACTAATATGTTTAGTTAGTTGGGTCTGTACCAGTGAAATCGACTGGTACGGCGTAAGTATTATTCATATTGCTGGTTTTACAACTACAGCCAAAGGTACACAGTTTGCGTTGGGGGTGAATTGCTGCCATGACACCTATGAAGATTGAGCTCGAGAAATTTCGATGGGAAATGCATTTTCGACTTGTGGCGTGTTAAGATCGCGTTATATCGGCGACACAGAGCTGGAGGGAGAGGACGAATGCCGGTCGTGACGAGGGCAAATGAGAAGCTATTTTCGATGAAGAAGGCTCGCATCATTCTTCTGTTTGAACCTAGCTGACGAGGTCCTAATGGAGGTTGCAATTGCATCGGTGAAGTTAGAGGTGCTTTGAACGACCAACAAGGCGCATCCGAACGACGATTGTTTAAATTCTCGATGGCTAAAGATAAGCTCGTGTTGAAACGCCTTGGTGAGTTCAGTTAAATCATCCGGAATCTAAAGAAATGTAAGTAAGAAGGTTTTTTATGGCGATCACGTCTTGTTGAAATTGATTTTTCTTGCATGCATGTGTCATGGGCTGACAGATTCTTGACTGTGGAATAGATCATGCGGCGCTTGGTGAGTCGAGAACACTAGGCTAGCCTTACTTCTATAGTTATTTCTAAGAACAGTATAGCAAATCGCATCATTATATCAGATTGTACCACGCCCAATTTAACTTGGACATTCAGTCTCTCAAGCGAGACATATTGAACACTTCAGTACAACTATTTGTTTCGATTAGCCATGGCCTCATCAGAAGAACAGTATCAGCTTCCGACTAATTTATGCACAGGAGGCCAACCTCGCATTCAGAGCTCATCAGAGTTGTTTCCGATTTATCCCAGAACTCTTAGTACAAACGCCCTGATGCCACTCCTACAAACAAGTTATGTCATTCTTTTTGCATCACTTACTCTTCGCCTCGATGCCACGAAGCTTTTACTCTTTAGCTTCCGAGGTACGGTAGAATTCGGTCCATGACACATGCATCTTACTGGTACTTTGCTGAGATACCGTCACATGGGCGGACCAGGGAGCGGGCCCACTTTTTCAATGCAACGCTATACCATACCTCATTAACCGTCAGTCAATCGTTGGAAAAATCCGAATCGCTGGATGACAATAATGTATCGGGCGAGTCGATTTCATTGGATGAAGTCAGAGAGCAGATGGGTCCATTTGGATGGACGTTGATTGGAAAGAACTGAAGAACTTTATGGTTTGAGGTTAGCCTCTTCTAATAGAGGCAAAATATCAACAATTTCGTGATTTCAACCCCCAATCTATTTTGAAAATTTCCATTCATGTATCTACTGCAGGATTTTAGGCTCAATTTCCTGAAGATGGCACAGTTTCGTGCTTGTTTGTGTAAGAATATGGCTTGATGGAAAGCTATGTGGAGGAAAGCTGGATAAAATGTGTATATTGCTTTTTCATATTGAAAATTGTATGAGTTCATCTCTATTTATAGTACATGGAGCCTAATTAATGTAGGAAAGAAATATATAGAAAAATCGATTTCTAGATGTAGAATATCTCGATAAATCAATTAAGGACAATCGTATCAATTTAGGATATCAGCAATATCTTTATCATATCAATTATGAGGCAACGGTATCACTCCCCCTCAAGCTAGTGGCCTTTACACATCGAGGACGCCTAGCTTGCCCGGTTGTTACTTATCTTGCCTTTGACACAAAGGTTTGGCGAAGATGTTTGCAGGTTGCTCCGTTGTCCTTATTCCCATTGTCTTAATCACTCCATCGTGGATTTTGTTTATGATGAAATGACAATCACCTTCTATATGCTTCGTTCTTTCATGAAAAACTGGATTTAGTGCCAACTTGAGTGCAACATCGTTGTCACAAAACAAAATTGTTGGTTTCCTCACCTATATACCGAGATCTCGAAGCAATCCTCTTATCCAGAAAATTTCCTAGCCAGTCTTTGCCATCGCTCGATATTCTACCTCTGCAGATGATAAGGAAATAGTCGTTTGTTTCTTTGTTCCACGAGAGTAGTGAGTTTCCTAATTTGATACAGAACCCTATTACTGACTTTCTGCTCATAGGGCAAGTAGCATAATCTGTGTCACAATATGCCCTCATTTCCATGTCGTTCTCTCAAGACAGTAGTATTCCCAATCCTGAACATCCTTTCAAGTACTTCAATACTTTCAATGCAGAATTCATTTGGGACTATTTTGGATCATGCATGAATTGACTGAGGATTTGTGTGACATTCCGAATTTCGACCCATTTTTGGAATTTATAAAACGTGTAATTCGTCAGTGTGCTTATAGTAAAATCTCGCCCGGGAATTGATCACTCTCGGTTACCGTTTTTAAATTGAGATTTCGCTAGAATCGCATTCGATCGAATTTGGCCGTTATTTAGAGCTCGAATTTTGGTGTCGAATTTTTTGAGTTTCGTGACGAGTTAAATTGGACGGTGTCGATATTATTGTGGCCAGCCTCGAGTTTGCCTAGATTAGTCGGAAAGTGAAAATTTGGACCGGGTGCGGATTTTGACCGGTAGACCTCCCTCTAGGTTTATTTTATTTAGTATCCGTTGGTTTTTCCTTAGTTTATAATTAGAATTTTTAATGAGCCGTTAGATCGTTTTCGGGTTCGAACGTGGATCGCGATAATTACCGTTGACTCTCTCTCTCTCCTCTCCTCCCTTCCCGCCAAACACCCCACGCTGCTGACACCCACGCCCGCTGCTCCCACCATGCCGTTTCTGCCTCTGTTTCTGCTGACTTGCTGCTGACTTCTTGCTGCACCTTCACGTGTGCTTTGCTGACCATTGACCCATGCTGCCCCATGCTGCTTCACGTGCTGCTTCTGTCCATCATTGCTGCTGCCGCTGCTTCTTCTTCTCTTTCGCTGCTTCTTCTTCACTTCTGTTGCTGCTGTTTTCTTCTTCATTTTGCTTCTTTGCTTCTTGCTTTTTCTTGCTGCCGCTCACCAGACCGACCAGCTCCCTTGCTCAGCCACCCTCAGCCACCGTGAGTGCCAGCGCTCGCCCGTCCAGCTACTGTGAGCTCAGCTCACCGCCGGAGTTGCTGCTGCCTCTTCTTCTTGGTTTGCTTGCTTAGGATTCCTAGTAAGTGGCTTCCTAACCCTTGACTAGGCTAAGGGGTGACTAATGGACATGTTAGAGATGGTTTAAGGACTGTGGATAGTTGGTTTAGTGGCTGGTTGTGCTTGGTTTGCTTGGTGGTGCTTGTTGGTTAGTTTTCGGTAAGGTTGCTGCTGTGTCGCTGGATTTTTCTATTTTTACTGTGACTTGTGTGGGCCGAATTTGAGGAAGTTTTCTTCATGAAAATTGTTCATAACATCTTGAAGTTTGACATATATTAAATCTGGAATTTTTAGAGATCATTTAGTTCCATTCGTAAGTCCATCTTTTGACCGAAATAAGTCTGCCGGAAACACTGTTCCTCCGACCTTCGGGTCTGTTCGAATTTTTATAAATTTTTCTAGACCTATTTTCAAAATACTTCCTTC